TGGGGACATCGGGCCCAGTCCTGCCCCAGCTCCCCTCATTTGGGGTCACTCAGTCCTGCCAAAGCCCTCCCACCCAGGGTCGGGGGGCACCAGGCCCTGCCCCACTGAAGTCTCCCCCCCCACACACACACATTTTGGGACATGAGGCCCAGGGAGGGCGGCAAAGGCGAAGGGCTGGAGCAGCCCCACAGCACCGTCACGGCGAGCGCGGCTTCACCCGGCCTCTCCGCCGTCCCGTAGGCCGAGGCACGCTCTCCGACGAGCACGCCGGCGTCATCTCCGTCCTCGCCCAGCAGGCAGCCAAGCTCACCTCCGACCCGACCGATACGCCCGTGGTGTGCCTGGAGTCGGACAGCGGGTGAGCGGCCGGGCCTGGCGCATCCGCCGCGCTGCTTTTCTCTCCCTTTGCCTTTCGCTTCAGCCTTGGAGACTTTCCTCCTCTCAAGCTGAACTGGCAGACACGGAGGAAGCCCCATCTCAGGCTAGATGCCGACACAGGCACATGAAAGCAGTAGTTTAATGGGATCTCCAGTAGCAGGAACTGGAGAAGCAGCAGGAAGCCTCTCAGAGGCTGGTGGCTACTCCAGCTCTATGCTTCTTCCCCACTTGGCATCTACATGGATAATTAAGCCCATCCTGTAGCCTCAGCCACTGTTTTTGCCAGTGTGGTAGGCAAAGGACAGGTCTAGCACACAGCTGGGGGTTGCTGCAGCCACGAAATGATACCGCTGTCTGCTTTCCCACCCGAGTCAGAGCTTCGTCATCACTGCAGCTGGCTTAACTGCCTCAAACATTACTTTTTTGTTGTCGGTTTTTTTGTTTTGTTTTGTTCTAGGAATATCATGATCCAGAAGCACGACAGCATCACTGTAGCAGTGCACAAGCTGGCATCCTGACCTCTCGGGAACCTGTGCAGCGCTCCCACCTCCAAACCAGCTCTTCCTCACTGGACAACCACTCTCCTCTGCTGCTCCAATGCAGAACGTGCTTGTAGGAACCAAATCTGGCCTGAAGGCTCTTCCTCTTTACTTAACAGCTCCTGTGCAGCTATCGGGTTCTTCAACTCGCATTCTAGCGGTCATGCTGCCAAGAATGAAATGTGGGTCACCGGCCAAGCTTGTGTAATGATCAGACAATACGAGGTGTGCGCGTGTGTGTGTGTGGCCTTATTTGTTAGAGAAATCAATAAATGACCTGCAAAAACCTGCATTTGCTTCTCTCTGCTCCTGCTGCAAAAACTGTTGCCTCTTGGTCTGACAGAAGTCAGGGAGCTGTTTCCAGAGCCAGGTGAGGTAGCTCCTCCAAACCCTTCTTCCTCAGCATTTCTCTAGATAAATGGAGCAGTGCATAAAGAGTTGAATTAAGGGAGGCTCCTCCAGTGGAAAAGGCACAAAAACTTTCCTAGGAATTTTTTTCTAGGAAATGTTTAGCCTCCTCTGGTTAAACTTCCTGCATGAAGGTTACTTGCTTACCATGCCTTGGATTGAAGTTCAAACTGAAACTTGTTTGCCCTGGCTGTGCTGCCTGCCCCTGCTCTGCGTGAACTGGATGTTGATTACACCTTCACCAATCCAGGCCAGTTTTCACCTTACAGATTCAAGCATTTCAAATGCTGCTGGGAACCAATCCTGCAGGAAGCCTTTGCCCCTTGCAGTACTGGTAAACTCAAATTCTGCCTATGTATTTAAGAGAGGGAAACAGAGATTACAGCTTTAAGCCTAAGGACAGCTAGCTGCAGGTCAAAGGGAAGCATCACGGTCCAACATGAGTATGAGCTCTAATAAATGGGGCTGGGTCAGAGACAGCGCTGTATTTACAACCGGGGTAAATAAACAGACACTTTGGTCCATAACCAAAATAATCTGCATGCCTAGCTTGGGGAGATATTATGGGGTGATCAGCCCTATCTTAGCCACCAAGCTTGCAGCCTGGTGCCAAGGGACATCTTTTACTCACACACTCAAGAATCCCCCTGAAAATTTGCTTTTCTGAATCTCATTCTCCAGTCAGACCCTGCCCACACCCAGGAGCATACAGGTGCTTACCCCAACGATGCAAAGCTGCCACATGCCTAAATCACCACAGGGAGCCTGCCCAAATTTTGCTATTAAGCAAAGAATATGCTGACTTCAGTTACCCAGCCTGCACCCAGGTCTTCCAACCTCTCCCCATACTCACACAATTGCTAGAACATGAAGGACACAAAACTCAGCTTTTCCACTTTCCCCTGTATCCCCTATGCTTCTAGCACCGTCTCAAAGCATAGGGCACAAAGCAATGAATTATTAAAATCATCTTCCTTTTCTTCATATTCATGTTCCAAGCCCTTCTACTCAGAAGAGAGCGCAGGTGCACGTTTTAAAATATCAAAAGCCAGCAGAAGCTGCTCTCCCAGAGCCACAGGCTCTTTTAAGGGCAGAAGACAAGGGGCAGGGGCACGTGTTCACTTTTCAGCACTCCAATTAACAGAGAAGGGCACATACAGAGCTCAGTGTTGCAGGTAACGAGCCCTGGGAACATGAAACCCTGTCCACAACGTTCATTAGCAGGGGCCCCCACATCTGCTCCCCGCCAGCACATGGAGAAGGGGAGCAGCTCAAGCCAGAGTGCTGGAGCATTTCCTTGCGGATGTCTGGCATCTCGGCGTGCAGATGAGACACCAGATGCTGCCGCCGACTTCTCACCAATGCCCTCGGCCCCCCGCCTGTCTCTCACCTGCTGTTCTTCAAGCTCTTGAACCATTTTCATTGCAATAATGTTACACTTTAAAGATGAATGCATATATTACGAACCCTACTACAGGAAGACCTTATATCCTACGAGATACTTCAGTATGCTAAATCCAATATTTCTGCTCTGGGAAGCTACAGCCTACTCAGATCTTACAGTAAAACAAAGTATTGCTTCTTCTGCCAAGGGAGGGGAGGAGAGAGAGATCATCATCACGACCCGATGCTTTTATCTGATTTCAGGCATGCTGATTTGGTTGACAGGTCGATCAAAAACTGGGGGAGGAAGCGCACAGCTGGATTTGTAGTGGAGTTTGTGCATATTGGAGGCCCTGAGCCAGCCCAGCCCCTCCACGACCCTCAGCCCCGCCAAAGCACTGCAGAAGTGTGGCTGCCCCAGTGCAGCTGCTGAGCAGCTAGCTGGAAAATAAAACCTTTCTAATCTGTCTCAAGTGAGGGAGGGGCAGAGGCTGGAGAGCTAAGGGGCTCCGCAGCCCAGCCCAGGCGGCGTGCCCACGGGAAAGCTCCGCTCTCCTACAGATGCGGCCGCAATCAGAGCTTGGCTTCAGTCCACCATTGCCACCTACTGCTCTGTTCAACGTCTAGCAGGCCACCAAGCCAAGCCCGAAGCCGAATCCTTGCGGACTTTCCCTCTGGAGGTTCCCATTTCGTCCAGGCAGGATGCAGGCTCAGCCAAAGCCTTGCTTTCCTGCCTCCCGGCCTGGGGAAGGGGAGGGACTCCCTTGCCTTGAGGCACGCAAGCCGGAGCACTGCCTCCAGGGAGGAGGAAGATCTCGTCCACAAAGTCCCGGCACTTCGCAGGCTCGAGTTTTTGCTCCAGGATAGCCCCGCTTTGCGGCTCTTCGGGAAGAACGTGCCCTCTGTTCCTTCCCCGCCGCAGCTGGACACGAATGCAGGAACAGACTTAGGGGCGCTGAGGCAGAAATCCAATTTCTGAAGCAAATGAAGAGAGACTATTCCTCTTCCCAGGCTACTGCTTTTTGGAAGATTTTACACCATGCATCAGCAAGCCGGTAAGGAAAAGTTTCAGGTTCACCAACCTGGCTGCTCTAGGGTTCAGCTGCTCGGGAAGGAGGATTCCTATCACCGACAGACATTCAGGACAGGAGAGGGGACAGAAAGGAGATAAGCAGATAAAGGTGGGAAACAAGTCTAAGAGTTCAGAGATAGACACAAATAGACGGCGAAACAACCCCCCTTCCTTGCACAAACCAGCCTATGCTCTAGAGATGCAGCAAGATGCCTGTCACCTAGGAGCCCATAAGGCTTCTTAAGCAGCCAGAATAACTTGGAGGGAAAGAGAAAGGAAATTAAATTGTTTGCAGCCAATGAGAACATGCAACTTAGCACCTCTTTGGGAAAAGGTTAGCAGAAGCCTCACCCATCCTCGAAAAATTTCTCAAGATCTGATGACTGAACGCAAATTATTATTGTTTCCTGCCTCATTAACAGAAAAAGCTGAGGACCAAAAGGATACATGAAAGCATGGGCTTGCTTTGAGAACAGTTTTGCAGGTTAATTGAAGCCACCTGATCAATGAGGCAAGGTGCTAACGCTTCCTGAAATTCTCATTTACAGGGGAAAGGAAAGAGGCAGAGACAATGAACCAGCCAAGAGCAAAGAAGAAGAAAGAAAAAAACCAAGCAGAAGCAGCTCCTGATGGAGGATGTGCATGGGGAGTGGTGTTTCACTTCTTTCTGGTGAGCAGAGAGCAAGTTTATCTACAAAGCTTCTGAAGTTGGGGCCTATAGAAAGCCCTGCAAAGTCCTCCTCCCGCGCATGCAGCGCGGATGACGGGACCTGCTGATCCCATCGAGCTGATGGCAAAATAAGCTATTGCTAGGAGGAGGCGAGTGCTTTGCTATACCGAGTCCAGGCAGTGAAATGTTACGTTGTCCCTGTTTCACTGCAGGCGGAGCAAAAACTGATTGCCACCTTCAGTGAAAACGCAGGGGCGTCTTCCCTTGCAAAGCCATTTGAAAACACCTTGTCTCTGATGCTGTGAGCGAGGGCACAGAACCACCTGCAGTCCAGGGACAAAAGATAGCTTGCAGCTATATGACCTTTTTTTTTTCCTACTACTAAACAACACCACTGAGGTTTCCAACTCAAGAGGGGCCTACTTCACCTCTGGTGAGGGCGAGATTCTCTTCTCGAGCAGCTGAAGATCTGATCTGATCGTCTTCTCCTTAGGGTGCTAACGTGCAAGAAGCACATATATGCTCAACTACGCTACTCGAGTAGGACGAGGGGTCTCAAAACCATTTAGAGGCACTAATTCTCTAACGCCTCCATGCTTTGCAGTTTAATACCACATGCAAAGTGAAGCGTGGGTGATCTTCCCATCAATTATACAGATACAGTGTCAAGACCCAATGAAAAAACCTGGGAACGGTCAAGCAGTCTCAACTTTCCATCCATACAGAGTAACTTGCTGCCAATTATTAACCAGCTAGCTATAGGGGAGGAGGAAGGGAGTTAAAAATAAATTTGAGGACACAAACTGTCCTTTGCCCTTGTGGCAGGGCTAGCCTGGGAAACCTGGCTTTCTGATAGCCATACGTGCTCCACTCAACAACCTAGCCAACCACTTGCAGCATTTCAAAGTTCAGAGAGCAGCTGAGATTTGGGTTTTACTGTTAAAAAAAAAAAAAACATACAGAGCTAATGTTATTCAGTTCATTTTCACTGGAAGAGCAGACCTAGCTTGTGTCAGGTTTGTACAGACGGATTTTGGAGGCTCTGTTAAGATTAAACTCCAAGCTTAGAGAGCAACTAGGTCATCACAAGCCCACTCTACTGACCTTCTCCCAACACATGCTATGCAAGTTCACTTGTCCCAGTTTGTTTCTTCCCTGGCACAGAGAATCACACACATCTAAAGCACACACGAGACAAGCAAAAGCAGTCTCCCAATCAATCACTGTGACGTCTTACCTCAAATCCGATTTGAATTTAGGTGAACGTGCTCCTGATGGGAATGCTCAAAACCTTCGGGATTTTCTTTGTGGTCTTCCAAGAGAAAGTGGGAGGCTCCTCCGAGCAGATCAGCTGGATCGGCTCCATCATGTCCTCTCTGCGCTTCCTGGGAGGTGAGCAGGAATTCGGGATGCAGCACGTTGTTTCTATCTGAAGCCTCTTTGCTCACAGCCAGATGTCGATATAATGGGCGCTGAGGACGGGTTGCAGATCCGCTTACCACTATAGCTGCTGCAACCAGAAGACACACCAACACTGAAGTGTGTCCATAGCACTAGCACGTTAGGAGCACCGAGATGCACAGGTCTCAGCATCTCTCTGTAGCGGGTCTATTGCACAAGACCAGATCCGTTCGGAGAACCACCTTTCCTCTAACACCACTATTAACGCCACAGAGCAAACCAGCTGCTGAATAAGTCACCACGGCTGAACGATGTGCATTAGGAAGCAGGTTAAGAAAATCTGAAAGTCTGGGCTTTG